TATATATATATATATATATACACACACAATTTTTTTGGTTCATGCAAAAAAAAAAAGGAGAAAGGGAATATTATGTATATAAAATTAGGGATGATTAAAGGGAAAATAGAGAAAGCCGTACATCTAAGCCTAAAATCATAAGCAATAAAGCCATAATTACTAAAAATGAAGTGATAAGATGTTTACAAGCAACTGTTTTTGAATTTTCACATTTTATTCATTAGACAAATGGATAAATAAATTCTTTCATATAGGATATCCAAAGTAGAATCACAATCACAAAAAGATGATACTTTTACGATCCAACCAAATATAGTATGTTGTGAATGCGAAAAAATCCTTCTTGAAATGTTTCAAGGAAATTTTCTGCATTAACCAATACTTGTAGGAGAAACCTTGATGAAAGCAGATGTCACGAAATAATATTTTTAACCAGGTGAAGGCAAAGAGGTATTACAAAAATAAACGATTGTGAGGCTATTGATTGTAGGTGCAAAAAACACACTGACATTGATCGGTAGACCCCTTTTAGCTAATGCGTCAAGTGATTCAATTCTCATATCTCAATCTTCAAGTGAAGCAAGTGTATTTAACAGAGCAAAATTTAAACCAGAAAAGATCATTTCACTAAACATTGGCACAATTTCTATGAATCAAGTTATAAGTAACTTTATACAAATTTTTTCCTTCATATTCATGTAGCAATCTGTGTAATAACCCCAAAAATTTGAATTGACCAGAGCCGATTCAATTGAACCAACACTTGTCAGTTCTCTCCTTAAAAAGGACATAACACCCCTTTCTAAGCGGAATGGCTTCAAATTCCCGAGATCGAAGAAAAGAGATGATGCGAGCAGAGGAGAGACGGACAACAATGCTCGAAAACTAAAAAAGACACATGCTTGATCCGAGGATTGTGTTAGTTGTTGATGTCCGCTCGTGGCCAAGCTTATAACTGGCATGCGATTCAGGGTGCACATATGACACTAGTGAAGTTCGAGCAGG